CGATGCTATCAGCAGGGCCCTTGAGGGCTCCTATGACGCGGATGAATTGGATGCTCGTCGAAATGCCTTAATAAATGTCTTGGAGCACGTGAGTTTGCTAGATGGTAAGCTGTTGTTTTTAAACCATCATTATATTTAACTGTTACTATTTGACATACCTTCAGGCAGAGCTTATCGCTTTATATGCAGGGAATAATAAAAGGGCAGCAAAAGTAAGAAGGAGAGTAGTGTTGGCGAAACACTACGTCGTAAGGCTACTATTGGTCTCAAGATGGCCAGAAGTGGAGAAAGCACTCCTTGTGAAGAGGATGAAGCTGTAGCACCCAAAGTAAGACTTTTCCGACGTTAATTCATGCAGCATTGTCTTACAATAATAACGTGAACTATATTTAGGTTGTTAGATATGGTACAGCAGGACGCAAGAATGAACTGGCTAGTTTTACAAATATCTATGAAGCTGCACAAACCGCTGGTATGGAAGTAAAGAAAGTGGAAGCAGAAGCTCAAATGCGCATGGCTGATGCTGCTATGAAGCGTGAAGAAAATGAAGCAAAACGATTGGAACTGCAAGCTAAACGTGATGACAGTTTGAATCAAATTTTATTGGCTCTTGCAACTAAGATGAATAAGGATAAATAAAGGTATTCCTTATTTCAGCTTTATAAATAGTCACTCCTGGAGTCATTTACATTTTTATCTATGCCTACAAATAAAAATGAGTTGGTCAAGAATCACGGTAACCAATGTTTTTTGCTTAAACACACTTACATAACCATAAGTATTACAATGAAAACAAGTGTTTTGATCATGTTGAGCAGCCTGATTTGTGAAGTACTGGTTGAAAAACATACTAGTCTGATTTCCTCTCATGCATGTCATAGCGTTTAGGAGCAATCCACACACCAAATAGTATTGTGCGACAGGTTGCAAGAACATCTTCAAGTTCTTTTCAAAGTCCATGAATGCAAACTTGGATGCAATTTTACCAAATCCCCACTCAACAGGTATTCGAACTGCAGACATCATTTTGTTAAATTCTTGCTCATGGCGGGTTGGCCTTCCTTTGTTCCTATGTGTTTAAATACTAGACCTGTTGATTGGTGTCTTTTGATCGATTTTCGGTTTTCCTCCAATCACCCCGTTCCTCATCTTTCTTCCTCCAATCAAGTTTCTCCCAAAATTGGAGCTCCGAAAGACTCCAATCTATCAACTTCCCATCCTATACATATTCTTATCAGGCATTTGTGGATGAATACCCAATCCGACGGTATGCTGTGTTTGTCGATACTATCCATTATCCGTTCAAGGTTGTTATGGTAAGCATCTATCACCTTATTTCGATTTTCGATGTCTTTATTTAAAAACAGCTTAATAAGAGAGGTATTGCAGGACCGATCGGGTTTGACGTTGACGTCAAGGGTAAAGACGCGCAAATGTCGCCATCAATTCAGAAACCCGTCGTTAAGACAGAATTGAAATTGGAAGACGAAGACTACGCACCAGTTACTAAAACTACACGAGATATTTGACCATTTGCATATTCCTTTAGTATGAAACGCTTTAAAACATTATATAAAACTCTTTCAAACAGGACTATACTGTACTCATTCTTTGCGTGTGAAGAAATTCTCCAAAGTAGATTGTTGTTGATGTGCATTACCCAAGAAAATCTCTTGTCTCCAAATACGATGCACGCTCAGGACCTCTGGCATATGTTAGCATTCCTTTCTACGTATCGAGCAGCACAGGCTTCAGTCGTGGCTATAAAACTATTCAACAGATTTAAATATTCACGGCGAGAGGTTTTAGCCAATGGACCCTCCTCTTCATCTGCTGCAGCATCGACAGGTTGTGCTTTAATATAACCCGAACTAATAACGCTCTCAGCAATGATGGCTGGCATAGCCGGCTCGTCTGCCATTGGCAAAGTTTTCTCGATAGACGCAAAGTCTTTTGCAGCAAATCTTGGACTTCCATCAGCAGCAGGAGCTACACCAATTGATTTTTCGTATTCTAAAGTGTCCGCTGCTAGTCTGTCTAAATCATCAGTGATAGCACCTAATCCATCATCCTCCCATTCTGGAACATCCGCTTTCAACGAATGACTACGAGGGACTCCCAAAATACCAGTTTTCGCCCAGCAATGGCGGATTGTCGACGACTTAACACCTCTCCAAGCTTTACCTACCATCTCGACGACCTGCTTCATATTAACCTTCACCATCTCTGCATTGGCACATACATACTACGAGATGGAGCTGACAC